GTTATTTTGCTTCATTAAATTAAATTTCTATTAATGTCCTTTTTTATAGTTGCTGAGAGTCACTCACATATGCTTGATACTCCCTGTTTTCAAATTTTCTACTCTTTCAAACAGATTAAGTGATCACCTTAACACTTTGTTTGTATTCCTAGCCACATACCACCCCTTCTGATAAAAAGATAATCTTTGTAACACTATGTGTTAAGTGGCACATTTTATTTCCTTACTACAGTAAAAATAGGAGCTTCCTGCATACTCCCTGCTCAAATTATATGGATTTTCTTTAAGATTAGGGCATACATTGTAACAGCAGCATATAATTTTCCCGCACAATAATTTTTTTTCCAGTTGAAAGGTATCCTATAATATCATCAGCATCAACAGGAACCAACACCTGATTTTCAGCTAGGCAAAGCTTATGCGTTTGGTGACTTTATTTCCTGCAAAAAGCAGTTTTCAGATATAAAGAGGCTATGTGAAAATTTGAAAACAATCTAGCAACTCATTCTTTAACCACAAAGTGCTAGACCAAAAGGAAATGTAATTGTGCCAATAATAAGATAGGTAATTTTTTTCCCCCCAATATCCTATTTTTGTTACTCTAATTTCACCCTCTGTTAATTTTATACACTTTCAGAAATGGAACATAAGCACTGTTCTTCCTAAAAGCTGTTTGGATACCTTGAAAAACTAAGCGTAGAGCATAAAACTGGTTTACGCATTTAAGAAATCTTCTTGTTGAAACTACTGTGTATATAACTGTGGATAAAAAGGTCATATGTGTCCCAAATACCTCTAGACCATCAGCATGTTCCAAAGACAAAAGATTAAAGACCACACTCCTACTACATAGACAACATATTCTCAAAATTTGTTGAGATTCCTTTCAGAGTATGGAAACTGCAAGTCTCCTGTGCTTCAGAAAGCACTTTAGGATGAACTTAAAACAGTCAATCAAGGAATCTTTGCATTGAGATTTGCATTTGTTGATTACAAAATACACATTTCTACTTTTATTTTTTTTTCTTTTAGAATTACTGGCTGAAGCTCTCTGCTAGAGAAGACACTGGAGCATGAGCCAACACACAAAAGTTTGATTTTGTTTTAAAAAGAAGCTGTTTATAAAATTGCCAGTGTCACACGGGTCTTGTGCCCAGAAGCGTGTCATCTTCCGCTGCTATTGATTGTTACAATACCTGTAACATATCAAGATGATCCGGGTATCAGTGTCACATAAGTGCACAAGAATTTAAAAGAAATAAATATAAGTTTCATTAAGTTGCAAGGAAATGTTATAAATATGGACTTTTACTTAAGCACTTAGAAGGTGAGAAGAAAAAAATCTGATTAAAGAAAAATCACTACTTTTAAGCCAAACCTGTGCTAGTTTCTGTATCAGATTAATACTATTCTTAATGATGGAACTGACATTATCTGTAGTAAAATAATTCACTTAAACATATGTTGTGGCCTGAACAAATGAAAAAAAGTAAGTACAGCAGAGCAAAAAAACAGTAAGTAAATGTATTCACCCTAGTAGGGTGCATATGCACAGTTTTATTTGTTATGGGTTCTTCATGTTTTCCATCACCAATTTGTTAGAATTGACAAAAACAAGTTATATTTTAAAAATAATCAATTTTAAGCTAATTTGCCCTTAGAAAATCATTCTTACAAACCTGTAATTCAAGCATTTTTAATCGCATACTACTTTGTATTATTAAGGTCAGTCCCGAGATTTAACTACAAATATAGTTATCTTTTGGATGGCATATGGCAAGATCTCCAACTCTTTAGCTTTGGAAATTTACATCTGCCTGTTCATTCAAGATGCTAAGCATACATGTGTTGACAAATAGAAAATAGCAGATGGCAAAAAGCAAATGCTCAACATGAAGCACTGGGGATCATTTGAAGAAGGCTTGGACTCAGACATTTGCCATTTTTATTTTAACAGCAGAATTATTTTTAAAAATAAATTCCACCATCTATTATGCTTGATGCCAATGAACACCTGTGATCAGAATATTCAAGATTACAAAATGAATATCATATTAATCTATATCCAAGATGCAAGTTGCTTCATAAAGTTTAGGATTTTAAGGTAATATAAGGTAATTAGCACAGTACCATTCTTCAGGACGTTGACTTCTGCTACACATAAGCCAGAAAACTTTCTGTACTGACCACGTAATTTGTCATGAAATCTTTGAGGCAATACACGGCTACGCTCATCTGCTATCCCAGCTTCTAAACTGGAGTTACTCAGGGAATTGACTACTACCACAGTAGATAAAAACACCCACCTGCATGTAGACCTGTTCTCTGCCCACAACAATACTAGTACTTCTACCATCACTATCTCCAGCAGCAGCTTTAGAAAACCAAAACGAGCACTTTTTCAGTTAGAGGTGTGAAGCGACCAAGAGCTCTAAGTGCAAGCTTCACTTGGGGAGCAAGGGAGTTACTTCCTATGAATATGGCCGAACAGGTGAGATGAGAGATCTGGCCAGTGCTATGCTTTTTACTAACAATGACCAGTGGATGCCTAAGGAATAGTATCAGGATAGGACAACTATATACCAACTCCCTTACGTATTCCACCAATATTCAGAAGTCCGTAGCTAACAGATTTCTGAACCAGAAAGAGTATTTTTTGTGTTAACATGCCATGGCAGACTTTTCTTTCATGAAATGTCTAACAACTTTTTCAACCAGGGAACCCCTTGGACTCAACATCTGTGGCAATAACTTTCACACTGTAACTACATACTACACGAACACCTTTTAGTGAAGGTATGTAGCATAGTGTCTAGTCACTCCTATAGCCAATGAGCTTTCAAGGTGAATAAAAATAATTATTGTTTTATTGCCACCATGCTCTTACAGACTTCAGACTGATTGTGCTAGATGGTTTATCAGTCAGTGGACAAACAAGTTGAGTCTGTAACAGGTCAGCTAAAAGAAAAAGATGAATAGAGACGGGACATATGGTAAGAACAACAGACAAGCAGCAGATCTGTCTTGGAGAAAACACCTACAAGTAAACATCAGTGTGGCTTTTTAATCAGAGAGATCCATCACAGATGGCAAGTTCTGAGACAAACTGCAAAAGGGGGAAAAAAAAAAAAGTATCTTCATTTTCTCTAAGATTTCTCACTGACTTTTCAAATAAAGAGCACTAACCAATTAGTTTGGAAATACACAGGTTGTAAAGAAAAGCTTGTATATTAAATAATATTTCCATCTTCTAAAACTACAGTTATAGATGTAAAGAGACAATTCTAAACTCCAACAATTCTCACTTCATACACTTCAAAATAATTACATGAAAGTACAGCGCTGTAACACAAAGGGTCAGGTTCATTAAAAAAAAAAAAAATCATACAGGAAAGGCACTACATAGTTTCAGTTCTGTGGCAAACAGCCCTGAACAATACTTTACATATGATTTTAATTCCACTACTATACATAGACTCATAGTGAAAAAAAAAATTAATTCCATCATGGTATTCAGTTTAAGTAGCCACCTGTCTGAACAGAAGAGCTGTTTTACACTGCAGTCCCTCTATTTTTTTCATTAAGGACAAACAGATCATTATATTTTATTCACATTTTACTAGTAACTCAGTAAACCAAAAACATTAGAAAGTCCAAGAAAAACACTATTTCTATTCAGAGCAGGACTAAGAAGCTTGGTTTCCAAAACACTCTCCTACATTAATTCTTCTAATGTTTAATAGTGAGGACCAAAGGATTTATGTCCTATATCTGCATGCAAATATCTTGTAAAGTGTTGAAACTTAAGACTAAGTATACGTATCGGTTTCAGACAAAAAAATAAGCTAGCAGGAAGCACTGAGAGGGAGTAGATGTACAGCAGAACTGCTTAGCAAATTCAACTGAAGAGTATCAAAATGTGTAAATTGAAACATACTGGTGAAATGACCTTTAGAACAGTTTTCACAGGTGCTAGCAATAAAACGTAAAAAAAAACCACAACAAAACCCAAACAAACACCGCCCCCCCAAAACTATCCCATGAATTTATTTCAATTCTAACAAAACTCAGTCTTGAGGTGACTAGCGTTCTCTTTACCTTGCTTAAAAATCCCAACTTCTTATTGCATTCATTCTGCCACCTCAAACCAAGCAAGGTTAGCCATGCACGCGCTCTCTAATGCCCTGCCAATACTGATATTCTAGCCAGCAGCTACCTAAAGGAATATATAAAGACTGAGTTCTGCTCACCTTCTTCCTTCTTCTCTATCAGGTTGCCAGTTTTCAAGAAACTTAGGAATTTAGTTACCTTAGGAATTCTATTTGTCTATCAAATTTGGCTGAACCAAGAATCGTACAAAGTAATCTTATAGAGCTCTGAGATTCTTAAACACATATACCAGGAGTACAGGAAAAACTGAAACAATTCACAGAACATCAGGTCTTAATGCATGACCAAAACCATGACGCCAGAAAAATGCATCAGAAATTTTCAAATAAGATTAACATATTTTCCTCCTATACATTTTCTATTCCATTACTGAAGACTATCAGGAAGAACTTCTTTTTACTCTTTGCATCTGGTCTTTATATATTCAAGGGTTGCATTCAGCACACTGCAACTGCCCACATGGTAGTAAATACTACAAGTTATCAATTAGAAAATTTCACAACTGTGTGCTACAAACAATGACCCTTTTTGACTTGTGCACCTGATGAATAAGTATTTGGCTCAGTTCATTCATGAACAATTAGCAAAGCTGGGCAACATAGCAGTGTTTGGAACCAGAACACTACAACCCCTCTTTGCAAAATACAATGATAACTCATAAACTCAAGATATTTATTTCAAACTTAAACCAGACTCAGTGAACTGATATTATAAATATATTATGCTTAATCCTATTTATTAAAAAAATGTAAAAGCAAAATCTGCAATTACTGCCTTATTGATTTATAAAATTTATTTTAGCACATCTTAAACAAGAAAAACATACTTACTAATAAAGCAAGTTTTTGGTACTTCCGTTTTAGTTCTGCTGGACTGTCTGATGGCTTTGCACCCAGGATTTTGTACCAGTCCTTTTGTGTTAACCTTTCAAATGCCATAGTCTGACTGGTTTTGAAATTACTTTCTTAGCACTGTGTAAGAAAATTAAATAAATACAATTACAATTTGAAAAAGAAACAGTTAAAGCAAAAATGAGGAAGTGTGACAAACTATGGGATCAAGAAATAGACCGCAGCCCTCAAGCATATGCACACCCTACATAAGATCTATGGTGCAAAAAAGCATCTTAATTCACATGACCATTCCATCCCATAGATTACCATATGCAAGTGATTTAAGTTATGCTGTGTTTCCTGTCCCAGTTCCTTAGTATATCGTGTTTCAGAAGCTGTCCATACTCCTTGGAAACCATTTTGTGTTTTAGCTGTCTGAATTCTTTTGAACCTACATGTTATACATACAGTTTATATATACGTATACTTTTTAAAAGACACACTTTTTATTTTGAAGCAATACTGTACTTAATATATGAAAAAAAATAAGTACAAAAAATTAAGTGTGACATTTTATCAGTTCTGGAATGAGATACACGCAAGAAGACAAAAAGGTATGGCCCAGGTTTTGCACAGTGATATTCATAGTATGGCTCCTCCTTCATCCTGCTGGGTAAGAAGACGTAACTTTTCTAATATTGAAGTAGAAGAGCATATAAAAGTAAACAAAAAAAGACGAATGAAAGCATATGAAGTTAGGGCAGGTCCTTAAGTAAAACATAATTAGTTGGGTGCTTTCCATTTTTGGCCATCTATCATCAAGCTAATGACCCAGAATGAAAAAAAAAAAATAAACAGGCGAATTAAATGCCAGGAAAAGCATAGTAATGCCTGAGCTTCAAGCAGATTCTTATCTGCTTTTAGTAGTCGATTTATCACGAACTTTCTGATAAGAAAGCAACCTGCCTTTCAACAGGGAACAGCTTTGTAAGTTTGCGAGTTTCATAAGCCTTTTTTTACTGAATAAGGGGTTTTGTGTTGTTGGGTTTTTTTTTCCGATTTCACCACTAAACCCGGTTTCTGGTGACTCCTGTCATACTTCACAATAAACCCTTTTTTCACGGGGGAAGAAAAAGTACGTTTTTCAGACTTCACCGAGCAACAACCGCAAAGAGGGGGCACCCGACTGCAGACCCTCCTCCGCCCCACTCCTTTGGGGGAGCACCACGCACCCACGGGCGCCCGCCCCTCCCGCTCCACACCGTCCCCCACGAAGGCCCCTTTCTCCCTACGGAACCCACGAGAGTTTTTAAGATCCCGCGAAA